GTCACCTCATTGATGTGAAGGCAGGTAATACCTGCAGGAGATTCTAACCCAATTCCTTCTGGCTCGAAAGTTGCTCTGTCTACCATAGTTCTCTCAAAAATAGGACAGATTAAAGAAAAAAATGATGTAGGAGTTACAGTAGCAGCTGATACCAACAGTACTTTGAGAAAAACTAAGACCTCAAGCCACATAAGAGTTTTGAGCAGTGTTATAGAAAGTCCACCTGAGAAGGGTGGTAGGAAAGACAGGTGACCATGGAGTAAGTGATGAGTAGTAGGAAATGGGCGTGGAATAGTAAATGTTCTGCAAAATGGATAACACACACTGGTTACTGAGAGTTAATTATAGGAGGTTTAGTGCTAGCTTTTCAGATCTGGGCCATTAGGTACGTTCTCATTTAATCTCAGATGCTTTATATAAAATATCAGACCAGTCCATTCAAATTATTGAGTAATTCACTATCTACCAGTTACTGTATCAGGGACTGAGTTAATGAAAATTTTTTTTTGGTTCATCAAAATATATTTGTGGGAGAAAGCAGTTAGCAAAGAGAATCTTGGTGAGATTAAAATAGCTTCACAATGAATGCTTAACAATAAAGTAATTAAATCGTTCTCTCAGATCAGTTTATGGATGAAGGGTGTTTCTGGATCACAAAAATATCAATATTTCTCGTGCCCCAGACTTATGAGACAAAGACATAAGTTTTATGTACAATACAGAAATATGATTTGGAGAATTAAATTGTAAAACGAAAGCAACGTAAATTCAAGAACAACCAAGAGACATGAAATTTGTCTCCAGGGACAAATCTCTCTGCCTAAAGATATGAGTAAGGCAATGAGGACTACAATAACCAGAGTTAATCAGTTCTGATGACTCCACCATGTACAGGTGAGTTAATCAGACAAGATGACTCCAGCAATAAAGAGGTAGGGTAGGGTACGATACCAAAACTAAAGAGATAAACTACTTCTTATTATGGCGTTTTAGGAAATATCCCATATATTTTTGTTCCTTTTGCCAGATGGCAGGAAAAGAAAATAAAAGCCTGAGTTTTACCTAATCTAATTTATTTCTCTAAGGTGTTCACAAAAAATGAGAATGTTTCTACAAAAATGAGATGTTTTAGAAGTAAAACAGAAAGCTGGAGAAGGAGGGCATTAGCAAACATTCTCCTAGGGTAGAATCCCTAAGGGTCAGGCAGTGCTCAGCTATCACCCACCTTAATGTGCTCTTGTTTCAGCTCAACAAAGGGTTTTCTTTCTGCTCTCCTAACCTCTATGTGTGTCAGGAGGCACATTTTCAGCCTTATATTCTCCTCCTCTGCTATTTAAATTCTTACCAAAAGTTAATTTGCTTTGAGAACTAATACTCCACAAGAGAGTTTGTCTTGTAAGGAACTATTACAATCACCTGCCACTGGAATTTTCAGGAATTAGAGAATAAATAAAACTTAGGGATGAATATTTGTGGGGGCAAGGAGGGGTTATTTCCATGATTCTTCCATCTAAAAAATGATTGACTTACACTTTAGGAAAAGTTGGATGCCAATTTATATGCAAACTTTTACATACTATATGGTATTTATTTCTTTCCCTTTCTATTTTTCCCCTCTGCCATGTACCTAAAAATACCCCCTCAGAGTACCACTGAGTAAACCCTCTAAGACTGCTGTGTGTATCCCGTAGTCACTGACTTGCAAGCAGATTGGCAGCCGGTAGCTTACATGTGCTTCTGATTATGTTAATGAATTAGAGGTCAGGCCCTTTGACTCTTCAGTTAAAGCAATCTGAATCCAGTTAAAGGTAAAATTAAACTAGAAAGAGTTTTGGTTACCTCATAATCTCACCAAAAATAGCTCGTTTAAGATATAGTGAAATCTGGCATAAATGAGAGTCTCTTCTTTGATCTATGTACAACAAAGCTAGAAAACATAATTTCCTCAACTCTAAGAATGATAATAAAATATATATTTTACTCACAATGCAATTACTCACATTTTCCACCTAATGCATGGTGGGAAATTCCATTCAAATGCAATTACTCACATTTTCCACCTCATGCATGGTGGGAAATTCCAGTCACAACTTCACAAGGTGAAAATGGTCAAATATGGACAAACTTGGCTCTAAATTTCAGTTTGCTCCTTTTGAGAGCTCAGAAAGACAGCTGCCTAGTATTCTAGCCACCTTCTGTTAACTCATTACCGTGAAGTGTGGGGCAGAGTAGTATTCCATAGAATGGGTTTCCAGGATGAGCAGGATCTACTCACACATCAAGTGATCAACACTTTGGGGCTACTGGTGGTTCCCAGACTCAATGGAAATACTTCCTATGTCAATAGCTTTGAGTGAACATAACCGAAAAAAAGAAAAAGCAAAGCTTTAAGTAGTTGTTGATATATGCATTGGCCCCTCTCACATTTTTTAAGGGCAAACCTGCTTGTCCAAATCCATGAGATAAGAGAAGAGAATGATGAACACCTTAATTTAGGTCATGGGCATTCAGGTTAAAGCAGATGGCAAAGCCAAATGCCTTAATAAAATCAGTTCAGGACAGGTTTCTCTCATAGGAACATAAATAACAAGGTGTAGTATCAAAATAGAGAACCATATCCAGCATAGTGTTTTCTTTTGAAGATCAGGCTATCTTTAAAAAGATAAAGGCAGATCACTTTTTCTAGTCACGGAGACTTTGAAATATTGTACAACAAATTATTATTAAAGTGGATTTCTGGTGTAGTTACATTAGCCAAGATTTAGTAAGCACAGTAGTGATTGAAGCACCTCATATGTTTGAAATATTTAAGGCCCACTCGAGAGGCGGCCATCGTTGTTATTATCCCCATTTCACAGATGATAAAGCTCAAACAGAGATTGCCCCAGAGCATCTAACTAACTGGTAGGAGGGCCAGGGTTTAAACCAAGGCTAACCCCAGAGTCAACATTCTTAACCATTGACCACACTCTGCTTTCTGAACATAACATCCTAAATAATTTCTTTACAATTTTTGTTTTTATAGTACTACTAAAGGAAAGGAGGGTGAGGTCTTGAAATTGGGTGGTGGTCTTGTCCTCATATCATTCAATTTTGCCAGAATATAGTTCTCAAACAATGTGCAGGTCACCAAGAGTAGCCACAGAAGATTCCATTGGAGCAGAGGGCTTCCTAAGACTGGGGAACAAGAACAGTTTTGGAAATGTGACTAGCTAAGCACTTCTCAAATTACATTTTGCTGTCAGAAGCTTCTTGAAACTGTTTGTGGTATCTTTAGCCTGTGTTAGCTTAGCTAGAACTACATTTCCCAGAATTCCTTTTCCCATAGGTTCCTGGGTCAGAGTGGGCCACCAGAGAAATTTGTGTGAGATTTGCAAGGCAGTAGTGAAGAAGCAGACACTTTTATGGTCTAAGTCACCCTAGAGTGGGTCTTGTTGTCACTCACTTACTTATGTAATTGTTGATATTCTCATTCATCTTGGGGGTGTAATCAGACCTAAAGGACGTCTTCCTTCAACTACACAGAGCTCTGAGCTCTGCACATGTGCACAAGGGGTGCCACATTTCCCTGCAAATCACCTGCATCATTGATGCTGGAGGCAGTGAGGGACAGCAGTGGTTCCAGTTTGCCCTCACAGGCTCCTGTCGTTCTTTGGTCTCTACTCCTTTACATCTATCTGCCCTTCCCAGCTACAGTCCTTGATGACATTAGGCTTATCACCAGATGCAGGTATGTCAGGCTTATATAGATTTGCTCAACGAGAATTGTGTAAAGTGTAATCATTTTACTAATTCTTTATTCTGTATCTGCTCTTCTGATTGAACCCTGACCAGCAAACCATTTATACCTTGTGGATTTGAGGCTACAGATGCTATCAGTGATAGCCTATCATGGCAGAAAAGGCAAAGGTGAGAAAATGTATTACTTCCTTAAAATTGGAGTGGGGGGTAGGGAGAGTGCAACCAAAACAAAGGGCATGCAATATATGAGCAATTAAATAAAATATATTATTTGGCATTTATAAAGTGGGTTTTACTTCCCCTACGCTATCCCTAATCCATATGTTACATGGTTTAAGCATGCCATAGTTTTGTTATAGAAACATGGAATTCCTGAGGTGGAAATCGTCTTGCTCATAGAAAAGAAAAAGTAACTATAAGTACCATTTCTTCAGTGATTTGAACTTGGCTGGCAAAACAGCCTTCGTGTGGGTATACCTACATATTGAATAATAGCAGCAAGACATTGAATTTGATGCCATAAAGCTAGCTAAATTCCAGCCACAGGGACCCTCAGGAAAAATTAAATCTTATCTAAAACCACCTACCCACAAGGAATGAACAGAGTCTGCCTAAGGCAACTGTGTCCATCCTAGCTGCCAGAATCAAACTATATGTGATGACTAACTAGTTGTGAAGAAAACAAAAACAAAAACAAAAACAAAACAAAAAAACTTCAGACAGTTAAGAAACTTAATGTATTAAGCGCTTTCAACTGTGAAAGGAAATCCACAGCAAATTTCAGTATAGCTCGGTTCACCATATGGTCTGATTTCCCCTGGACACTCTGGTCTATGTTTGCTTTACCAGAGTAAACATTCACAAACCCGTCTTTCATTCTCAAATATGTCCCACTTTTGCAAAATTATCTTTTATCCTAGTAATAAGCCAATCACATGAAATCAAAGATTAGGTGAAATTAAAAAAAAAAAAACAGCTAAGTTTTACCAAATACTAGTATATGCTAGGCATTGTCCTATAGGATTTAATGTATCACTTTATTTACTCCTAGCAAACAGCCTCCCATCATAAGGAAATTATCACTAGCATCCTCTTTGATAAGGAACCTGAGGAGCCACATGGGAATTAGCAACTTGCCAAAGTTCACAAGGTTGTAAGTGGCAGAGCAGAGCATCTGAAAAGCAGAGGTCTTAATGGCCATGACAATTTATTTATTTATTTGTTTGTTTGTTTGTTTATTTATTTATTTATTTTTGAAAATACCCAGCATGCATGTTTAATCTCAGTACAATGGTTTCAAGACCAAGTATACATGTTACAAGCATCAAGGCTAGATTACAAATTATCATAGTCATCATCGTCATCATCATCGTCATCATCATCATCTTCTCGTTTTCTTTTCAATGCATTTGATGATTCATTGGCAGTATTTTGTGATGACACCATGTTAGTGGTAATAAGAATGTTTTTAGACCCAATTAATGATGGATTAATCAGAACATTCTGAACTGCGGATGTTGCAGGAATTGATGCTTTTACAGTTGGGGACTGTGAAGTGGGCATCTGTACTGTAAACCTTTGCCCTGTGAGGGACATTGGAGTCCCTACTTTAGTTGACACAGACATGGTTTGTGGGGTTGGTGTGCCAAGTGTGGGAGTACTTGGTCTGCTAGTAACTGAACCAACACTTAACCGTGGAACTGTTATTCTTCCCGCAGAAGTAGATGCCTTTTTTTGTAAAGACTTAAGTCTATAGTTTGGATCAGTCAGGCAGTATCTATCAGGTGGCAACCTGGGGCCTGAATATGGCTTGATTAATGGCAAAGGAGTTTGATTTCTTTATCTTGCAATATCTAATAAAAATCTCTTGGGGGAGGAGAGGTAAAAGACTGATCAGCACGACACTGGATGGCCAATCGCACATCATCTGCATCAACAATGGCTTTCTTAGCATGGCTTCAATAAATTTTTGCATCATCTAGAATTGTGGTCACATATCAGAAGGCAAACTCCAACATCTGATTTATAACTCTTGGCTCATATTCTGTAATCCCCACATCCTTCAGGATTTGCGCCATCATCTGTGCATCTTTCAGCATGCTCTTGGGAGAAGCCATCTTGCCAGACTCCATTATATCTGTTGATCAGACTTCTCGAGCTAAATCACCCACATTAATGTATTTCAGTCCTGATCGTGATGCAAGTTCTTTGCCTAGCGTGGTTTTTCCAACCCCTGGTGTACTGGTGAGCAGGATGTTCAGAAGCAACATGGTCCTCACCGCGCTGGCTCCGGGCATCTGGCCATGACAATTTATAACAAGAATCTAAGGACAGTGGATCAAGACCACCACCCCCGCCACTTGCAAAGAGAGAATCATCTCATCTCTGCCCCTCCAAAGTGCTTCAATTTCCCCACACATTAACTAGCATTCTACACCAAAACATGTGATAGTTATGTCAGCTTAGCCAGGCTATGGTGCCCAGTTATTGGATCAAACACTACTTTACATGTTGCTGGGAAGGTATTTTGTAGATGTGATTAATATTTATGATCAATTGACTTTAAGTGAATGAAATTACCCTCCATAATGTGGGTGAGTCTTTTTATTTTTTTCCCAAAGATTTTATTTATCTATTTGAGAGAGAGAAAGTGAGATAAAGAGAACATGAGCAGGGGAGAGGTGTGGGGAGGGGAGGGGGAAGCAGACTCCACACTGGGCAGGGAGCCTGATGCCAGACTCCACCCCAGGACCCTGGGATCATGACCTGAGCTGAAGGCAGATGTTTAACGGACTGAGCCACCCAGGTGCCCCAATGTGTGGTGAGTCTTATCCAATCAGTTGAAGGCCTTAAGAGCAAAACCGAGATTTCTCAGATAAGAAAGAATTCTGCCTCAGGACAGTACCATAGATACCCTGTCTAGGTTTCCAATTTGCTAGCCTACCCTGTGGATTTGGGGCTCAAGACCATGTCTTGACCTCTTTCCTGAGTCTCTTTGCAGCGAGTCTGCCGTTTAAACTGGCCAGCTCCCACAATTATTAAGCCAATTTCTTAAACTAAATCTCCCTCTCTTAATCTTATATAGAGAGAATATATACTATGTTTTTTCCCACTTGAAAACTGAGACATTAGTTGTTACAATGTTACACAGCTACGTGGTAGGGGAAATGAAATGTTAATTCAAACCTATCTGACCTCAGAGACTTGGTGCTTAGTCACTAAACTATATTGCAATTCAGGGCACCAAAGCCCAAAAGTCAACAAAGTAGGGTAAGAAAAGTCAAGGACTTGATGTCAAGACTCTTAAACTTCAATCAAGTTTTAAAAGCTACCAACCAAATGCCCTTGAGCAGCTCACTTCCCTCTTTTAGTTCCAGATTTCTCTATCTATAGAGAAAAGATCTGTCAATAATCTTGATATAAAGATAAAAATATGTCAACATATGAAAATTAAAGCATCATTTTTATTTTGTTATTTTCCAGATTAGAAGTCATATGCTGGACTCTTTCTTCTACTGACTACAAAATGTCCTGGGGTGTTGAACATTAAAATAACTCTTGTATCAGAAGAACTTAGCTATGGTACCCAGTGTCAACACAACCCTTTTTTAGTTATCGATATTAACACAGGGAACGCTGGAACATTTTATCAGCATAGCAGCTTTGGGGTAGCACCAATGTTTTTCTTAATCCTTCAGATTAAATTTTTGTGTGTGCTTGTGCATGCCCATTTAACATGTTAAAAATTGAGGATCTAAAAAGTTATGGGAAAAAAAAAGTAAGAAAAGCAAGAACAGGACCAAATGGGTAAAACAAAGTGCAAAAAAACCACCGAAACAAAGAAAAAAAAATCTTCAAAAAGCAATAAGTACTATAGAACAAATCAAATGTTAGTGTTTAGTAAAACAACGAGCCAGTTAAAAACCAAAATCATACTATGTCAAACACCATGATAAAGCTGAGAAATGAGGAATCTTACCAAATTAGGGAACACCAGTCTCCTTATAGGGAAAATTTACCAAGTATTATTTCAAAAAAGTCCTTCACAACGTAGTAACTGACTGTTCAGAGTATTTTGAGTACATGTGAAAATATGTGTTCATGCACGGCGTCTCCATTATCCTTAAAGATGCAATATAGCTTCTTTACCTAAATAGCTCTGGTTTTCTTTCTTTCTTTAATTGATCAGTAGTACTGCCTTAAGGTGTATTTATACTCAGCAGAAGGAAAGGTAAGAATCCAGAAGCAAGAATGAGGAGAGAAGAAATGAACAACAGCAACAACAACAGATATATATATATATATCTCAAAGGAAAACACAGGGGAAGCCAAAACAAAGAAACAGAGAAGGCAATTTATTTTAGCAATATGGTGAACTGTGGGGGAAAAAAAAAAACACTCAAATATGGCAACTTGCAGGGACAGAGCCAAGTGAGCTTACTGAGTCACTTTGTGTGAAAGTCAAATCACGACTTTAATAAATTTAAAGCACTGAAGTCCATTTGGCATATCAACCCTGTATGGCAAATGAAATTGTCTGTTTTGCTTCCATAGGGTCAAGATACTTGGGGGAGAAGATTAGGTAAATGGCCCCAAACACCAAGGGGGTTGTTAATTTTTTTATTGGTACATTGAGCTAATGCAGTTAACCATACAGATTCAGACTATAGACTCCTATGCACCCTCATATCATTGACGTTAAGAGGGAAAGGGTACGTAAAAGAGATAGATGGGAGTTGGGCTGGGAAAGAAAATTCAGCTTTGTGTCTTTGTTCTCAGGACAGAATAGAATGATATACTAACTAGTTTCCTCAGCTCATTCTGTAGTAATGTTTTTCAGACCTTAGCTCTTTCCTCCCTTCCCTACTACAAAGAGAGTATATGGCGCCACAGCCTTGCACAAAGAAAAGAAAACATGGTAGTAAATTATCTTAAATACACCTGAACTTATGATAGCCAGAGTCAAGCTTTGCCGAGATTTTCTTTTTCACATAATTCTAGATTTATTTTTGCCATTTAGAAGTTTATTTTGGCTGGAGTTGAAATTTAATTTGTTCTTCAAAGAAACATAACAATGGAAATACAAAGAGGAAGCTTTTGTTCACTCCCTGGGAGTTCTGAAAAGTAGTAATTATAAAATGATAAGATTCTAAATGAAAATGTCACTTTGAAAGGTTGGGGTTGACAGCAGCACAGACCTATGTGAAGTGAAAAAAGTCACATTATATTCATGAACATAAATGTACCCAGATGATGTAATTTTACATCTTTTGATGATTTATTATATAAATGTTTCATAAGTTTGAAAAAATAAAATCCTTTCTAAAAATAAATGTTCATTAGAAGTCTTAGAAAATAATACTTCTTTTGAAGAACAGTACTTGCAAGATAGTATTCTTACTCTTAAGAGACTTAATAGTAGATTGATAAAATAGTATCAACTAAGACAATTGATACACACACACAAACATTGAGTCAGAGAACAACACATTAATTACTTCAGAATTTTCGTTTATTTCCAGTCATGTCATTTGACCTGTGCTGCACAAGTTGCTCTGATCTCAGCCACTACACTGTGATTCCGTGTGTCCCTTAACTATATACACACAAACACACGCACACACACCATCCATGCCACACAAACATGTACAACCGCCACTATATTAAAAAAATGGTAGTATTTGAATAAATCAAAATTTTTTAAATAATTATACAGGCTGATTAGAGATAAGGAGCCGGCTTTTACCAAACAATATGGCCAGCAAGTCTTTTCTTGCTAGGAGTTTCTATGATGCTTTCTGTGTGGTGAAGTTAAGCTGGGTTGAGGAGAATGACTAACTTGCACAGACATTTTTCAGCTTTACCTTTCTAGATTCCTGATTTTTATTTTATTTTATTAAAGATTTATTTATTTGGGGCGCCTGGGTGACTCAGTCAGTTAAGCATCTGCCTTTGGCTCAGGTCGTGATCCAGGGGTCCTGGGATCAAGCCTGCATAGGGCTCCCTGCTTAGCGGGGAGTCTGTTTCTCCCTCTCCCTCTGCCCGTGCTTGCTCTCTCTCTCTCTCTCTCTCTGTCTCATGCGCTCTCTCTCCAATAAATAAATAAAATCTCAAAAGGTGTATTTATGTATTTGAGAGAGAGAGGGAGAGTGTGAGCAGGGGATGCAGCAAAGGGAGAGAATCTCAAGCAGACTCCCCACTGAGTGCAGAGCCCAACGAGGGGCTCAATCTCACCTCCCTGAGATCATGACCCGAGCCAAAATCAATAGGCTTAACCAACTGAGCCACTCAAGCACCCCTACCTTTCTAGATTTCTAAAACATGTGTCTCTTGAGTCCTGTATGTATGAAAAATAGATGGCTCATTCATCTACACAAGAATGCACATGTGTGATGTATGCACACACATACACACAAATGTTTATGTCTTAGAAATAAAATGTGTCATCTCTCTGCATGTATGAACCTTAACCACACTCCACTGAAGGAGCTCTGTAAATTTCAGAGTGCCAATTTGGTGTGCAAGCAGCAGGAGGGCTGGTTCCCTAATACTGTCACTGTCTTTAAAGTTGTCATTTAACATCTCCCCTTTATATCACTGACATAGGGATGTTTATTCCAGTCTGATTAACTTATAGATTTTCTTATGCCACAGAGAGACTCATGTTCCTTTAAAACCCTGTGGTTTCTCTCATCTGTATACGTAGCCTTTGATAAAGTAAGACAAATACATATGTCAAACTCCTCTAATTCGGGGCCCTCGGCATTAGTTGGTTACTCTCTGTGATGACAATTCTACTCAACATTTATTGCAGTTAGCTATAGGGTATGAGAAGCTTTAAGAGGAAATGTGGGTGTTGTGGGGGCAAACTTCTTCATGCTCCTCAAAAGAAAAGACCAGTTTACGTTGTATGAAAAATGTGCTCTTCTATAGTTGCACAGACTTCCCTGAAACTTAGGGAGCTAAACCAGAGGAGTTTGCATTTTCAGTGATGTCTGCAGGAATTACATGCCATTATTTTAAGAAGGAGTTTCATTTTCTAATTTAACCTTGTAGGCAACTAACTGAATTTTTTATGTTATATGATTTTAAAATGTAAACAAATATCTATGATCATATGTAGAATCCAGTA